AATTCTATCTTATTAATTTTCGATTACCCAATTTTATCTTTACTGTTTGGAATTTTTGTCAATTCCGTCCAATTGGCCCAATTTCTATTAAACTTAACGGATTCCCGTTAGTTTTGTAACCAAAACCACCCTGATAGTTTCAGAAAATTATAAAATAAATCCTAAAAAATATGAAAATAACAAAATAGTCACTATTTTTCATTTTTTTCTATTTAATTTTATTTCTCTTTATTACTTTTCATAACAATCAAAATATGCTATATGATCTTTAAAAAAATAATAATTTCTTTTGAAAATCTATTTTTCATGTGCAACACATGTGAGGGGAAATTTTGCCATTTTAAATTTTAAAAATTTTGAATTTTATTTTTTATTCCTTATTTTTTGAGATTATATTTCTTATATTTTCTGACTTGTATATATTGATACTAGTATAATTATTAAATTATTTTAATTATTAATTTACTTTTTTATTTCATTGATTATAAAAAAATAAACATAAACAAAATGAGGAAGAAAAAATCAAGTTGAAATAAACATGAAAATTAATAGTTTATCATTCTAAACAAAAAACGAAAAAATCTTTAAAAAAAATCTGCAAAGACAAGTCTTTCCTCCTTGACTTCCTCTAATTCATAGATGAGTTACAAAACATAAATTTTACTTGATTTATCCTAAAGTAATTAATTTTTTCGTTGTAATAAAAATAATATAAAAATTAGACAATCATTTGAAACATGAAAAAAATGCTAATTTAATTAGTCCACAACGATGCATTTCTGTAAATTTGGTTAACACTATTTTATTTTTTTAATAATTTAATTTTTTTTGCCGATTGGCGGTTGCTAAACTACATAAGCAATTATTGAATTTCATGAAAAAGATAAATACTTGTATTTTTTAGCAAAATAATTACTAAATTATACTACCTGACTTGTATTATTTTTATTACAATGAACAAAATAATTTTTTTAGGCTAGATCAAGTAAAATTTATGTTTCGTAACTTACCTATGAAATAGAGGAAGTTTAGGAGAAAAGACTTATCTTTACAGGTTTTTTTTTAAAAGGTTTTTTTGCTTTTTGTTTAGAATGATAAACTATTAATTTTCGTGTTTATTTCAATTTAAGTTTTTCTTGCTCATTTTCTTTATGTTAAAGTTTTTATAATCTATAAAATAAAACGGTAATTTGATGATTAAAATTTGATAATTATTCTAGTATCAATATATAGAAGTCAAGAAATATAAGAAAAAAATCCCAAAAAAAGACGAATTAAAAATTAAAAATTTTAAAATGATAAAATTATCCATCAACCCAAATCACATGTGTTGCACATGAAAAATAGATTTTGAAAATAAATAATTATTTTCTTAAAGATCATATAGTATATTTTGATGGTTATGAAAAGTAATAAAAAGAAATAAAATAAAATAGAAAAAAATGAATAAAAAGTGACTATTTTGTTATTTTTATATTTTTTAAAGTTATTTTTATAATTTTCTGAAACTATCAGGATATTTTTGGTTAAAAATTAACGGGAACTCGTTAAGTTTAACGGAAATTGGGTCAATTGGGCGGAATTGACAAAAATTTCAAACAGTAAGGACAAAATTGACTAACTGAAAATCAATAGAGTAGAATTGACGATGGGCCCAAAACTTTAAGTATGAACGCCAATTTTTCCCTCCCACTCCCTTTGAACTCCCCATTTGTTTCTTGTTTACTTTGGTTTAAGTTACATGGTTTGCTAATAAAATATATAACACGCGCTATAATTTTACTAATCTTAACTAATTAAAAATAAACGTTAAATCAAATTCATTGATTTGCACATCATTTTAATTTGTCTTATCATGATTTCAAACTCAGAAATGTAATTGTCTTGTTTTAACTACAGGATAAGGAAGTAAAATATTACATGTACAGACTAACAACGGAGAGAATGAATTCACGGAATCATCATTTAAATAATACGATATATATTTACAAATGTACGAAATAATGAATTAACCGTATCCATATTTAATTTGTATTGGTTCACTTTGAGCTCCCGGCTTTTGAATGAGCGCGTAGTATTTTGTATCACCGAAACCTCTGCAGTCCAAAAAAGAATAAGTACAGAGTTGTTTGTTAAGGTTTGTGGTTATTTTGATTGGAGTTTAGGCTGATGATCAGAATCACACCGACGACATATATATAAAATCATTTATTAATACATTAACCATCTTAAGTTACAGGGTTAAACAAAAAATTAAAATGCAACACGTTAACGAGTGGGACAAGCAACGACAATACTAAAAAACATTAAGTGAGGACTAATTTCATGAACACTTTTAGGACCACCACAGACAAGTAGTAGTAGTAGTAAGATGAAGAAGAAGGGTTTCACTTTCCGACATTCTCATGGAAACAACTAATAGTTTTTGACCAATTTGATTACTCACTTTATCTGCTTTCTTTTTTTGTTTGGGGTTTTGAGGGATCGATGATTTGTTTGTCTCCCGGGGACTACTAAATTTTAACCTAAAAAAGTAACTGTGGATTACACATGTTTTTGCAAAGTTAAAAAAGTCTTATAATTAGAAGACAGCTGACAGCCCCCTGATCTTTGCTGATCAGCTAGCTAGCCAACTCTATCTTACTTAGTATTCAATGTTAGACCTCTTTTTTTTCTGATTTAGAAAGTATCCTAATTCCTAAATCCTCCCTTCCCCCATTACATTCTGTCATTTTTATGTCTACAGCCTGTATTTCCAGGCAGCTCCCAACCGCGTGCAACTTAATTGGATTCATAATCTCCTCCAACTCACACTTCTCCCAAAACCATACACAACAAATCTTTAAACTTTAATGCAAGTTGGTATTAGGGTCTCTAATTGGGATACCAACTATAATTATCAGATTAACCGATTTAGTCAATTTTAAAACTCGTCTTATCATAAAATTCTATAACATATGCGATTCTTATTTTGGAACAGGTAGAGATAGAAGAGGGAGTCTTGTGGTCGGACCCTAACAAGTGATGAGTAGGTGATATGTATAGCCACTAACTAAACCAAAACATGAAAGGATATGTACCCCGTTAATTTTGTCAAGGGATAATTAAGGGGTTACATGCTTAATCTTTAATTTAATTATCGAAAGGAGGGGGAAGGTAAGCGTGTGTTTACGCAATCGTTAAACCTGGGATTGCACCGCCCTTAGTATCTCACATGGTTTTGGATAATTATAGTAATTGCTTGTGTAAGTACTTCTTTTCCATTTTCTGGCCAACATTTTGCATTTTGCCCCTTTACTCCAAATTTTAATATGTTCCCAAATATGGTTCAGTTTTATGGATATCATTAAACCGCATTTTAGTTTTTTACCATTAAAAGTTAAAGCCCTTTGATATATAATTCAGTTCTATTGACAAAGTATCCTGTGTTTTTATTGATGTGTTCAGTCATATTATTGAGCAAGTAATTAATCCAGCTTCGATAATATCTTATCCATTCCTAAGCAACCAATTAAAGCTATAGATTTGATAGTCTGTGTTATACTTAATAGATTACCAATTTTGCAAAATGAAGTAAACAACACGGAAAAGAAAAGTAAAGAACTAACCAATCCATTACGCATTCTCTTCAATATATCCCAAACCAATTATGTATGGTTAATTACCGCCGTACGAGTTGTTCTTGTGACTACCAACGCGTTGTGTGAAGTTTTCCAATATCAAAATATTTGTTTTTCTTTATCTTGATATCGGTACGTCATAAGGTGTGTAACGCTATATTGATTAATTCTTGTATAATATTATATATGTACGTAACATTATATCGAAAGGAAATGAAATATGTATATTACCAAATTAATATACAATTTGATGATACTTAAACATCAACTAATAAACAAGCCAATCCAAGATTTAAAGGAAAAAAAAAACCACAAAGTTGTGTTTCAATCATCCACGGTGCCACAACATTCATCCACAATCCAAACAAAGAATCCAACAAATTTCCCCACCACCTCAAACCAAAAAACTAAAAACCACAATGAACCCCTAACCACAAGTACTCAACTAAAAACATTTATTATTGCATTATTCAATTATTATCTTCAATCACTTCTCCCCTTACACCCCCACCAAAAACAACCCCACCCTCAAAAAGACCAAATTCACACACACAAACCAAAAACTAGAATCCAATCCCACCAAGTTTGGCTGTTGTTAAATTATCTTGCAATAGAAAAGAAATCACATCTTAGTACATATACATAGTCAATGTACCCAAGAAGAAAAAAGATCCCGTTTTTATACATGATGGTTAGCTGTTAATAAAAAGCTCGTGATTTTAGTGATTGATTGGATTCCACATTTTAATTTTCCCTCCCAATCAGTACGTAAGCCAACCCAAACCCACATGGACATAAATACCAAAAAGTACTATTTAGGAACAACAAAACGACATCGTTAACCTTCTCTCTCTCTTCTCTCACACACACACACACACACACACATCATCATCGTCATCTTCTATGTATCCTTCCCTCTCTGCGAAAATGAAAAAATGAGAGAGAGAAGGGGGAAAAAAAAAAAGAACTGCATAGGGCTGCGGTTACTCTCTCTATCTAACCCATCATCGGATCTGAGTTCCCAACACTAAAAAAAAAAAAAAAAAACCTTAACCCACCCCATCTTCTATATTGTCCGATCTTCCCATTTCCCCACACATAAACACACACACACACACACACATATTACACACACTCACACAGTCTCTCTCTTTCTCTCTGTCGTCTGCTTCTTCTCTCTCTCCGAAAAACCCACCACAGACAACTAATAAAAGAATCTGCCAGAGAGAAGAAAAGGGGCAACGTCGACGTCGGCTTAATATTTGCGGGTGGAAGTGGGATTTCGACCCGACCCGAACTCAACTTGGGGCGGAGAGGGTTGGGGATCAAATGTAAGCGGTTTTGCCAAATGGGAAGCACTGAACGACGACGAAGAAGACGATGAGCAGAGCCGGTGAAGAAGAAGAGGAAGACGAGTTTTTCCACGACTCCCTCGACCGGCTGCTCTCCTCGTCCAACACCTCTTGTTCTTGCTCCCCTCGTTCTTCTGCCGATTCTGAGGATCCGAATCCCTTCTCCAACCCGGGTTCCCCCACCGATTGTGATGACGGCGGCCCCGACCCGGTTCGCGTCGTCCCCAAATTCCCCATGGGCGTCTCCAACAACTACGATGTTTGGATCTCTCAACCCTCCTCCGTTCAAGAACGCCGGCTCCGGCTCCTCCGCCAGATGGGCCTCAGCCGTGATCCTTCCCTCGCCCGCCACCGCCCTTCCGCCTCCGCCGTCTTTGACAGCAGCGTGTTGCCGGATTTGTTCGGCAGATCGGTGTTGTCCGATCAGTTGAACGAGAAGAACCCTGGTGAGGGTTTTTCTAGTGCTTCTTATTCTAATAATATTAGTAGTAGTAGTGATAATATTAGTAATGGTTCTGTTGTTGATAGTGTTAATCATAGTAATAAGTGTAATGTTGTTCCTGGGTTTGTTCGATCGAAATCAGAGGGCGATTATAAGCATTCAGATATTCATTCCTTGCCAGCAGAATTAGCCAATGAGGCTGGTAATGGTGGTGGTATAGTTGTAAATAATAAGCAGAAACATAATGGAAGTCATAATGTTGTTGTCCTTGTTGATAATATTCAAAAAGGAAATGGTTTGTCCAATAAACCTCCGAAAGGGAAGGTTAGGACGGATTCTTTGAGAAGCAGAAGCAGCAATTCATTGTCTGGGTCGGGCAATGGGGATGCGGAGGAAGGTCCCGAGGATACTGGTTTGTTTCGTGTTGATGATCCAGACAATCAGGTTTGTACTATTAAGAATCTTGATAATGGGGAGGAGTTCGTGGTGAATGAAGTGAGGGAAGATGGGATGTGGAATAAGCTTAAGGAAGTGGGGACGGGTAGGCAGTTGACCATGGAGGAATTTGAGATGTCTGTTGGGACTTCACCCATTGTTCAAGAGTTGATGAGGAGACAAAATGTGGAGAATGGCAATAGAGATACTGCCGATTTGAACGTTGATGGGAATGGCGGAAATGGATCCAAACATAGGAAGAGGGGAAGTTGGTTCAAGAGTATTAGAAATGCTGCGATTTCAGTTGCCGGGTACAAGGATAGGCGGAGTAGTGATGATAGGGATACATCATCTGAAAAGGGTGGGAGGAGGTCCAGTTCTGCTACCGATGATAGCCAGGATGCTTCTTATCATGGTCCTGAAAGAGTTAGGGTCAGGCAATATGGGAAGTCTCATAAAGAACTTTCTGTGCTTTACAAGAGCCAAGAGATACAGGCGCACAATGGATCTATTTGGACCATTAAATTCAGTTTGGATGGAAAGTATCTAGCGAGTGCTGGGGAGGACTGCATTATTCATGTGTGGCAGGTTGTTGAAGCTGAGAGGAAGGGCGATCTGTTGTTTGATAAACCAGAAGATGGAAATTTAAATCTTCTATTTTTGGCCAATGGATCACCAGAGCCTTCCTTATTAATGTCACCGAGTTTAGATGGTCTTCCTGAAAAGAAGAGAAGAGGTAGGGCCTCCATAACTCGGAAATCAGTGAGCTTGGAACATGTTTTGGTTCCAGAGACAATTTTCGCGCTTTCTGAGAAGCCCTATTGTTCGTTTCAAGGTCACCGAGATGATGTGCTTGACCTGTCATGGTCCAAGTCCCAGGTTAGGAATATTTTCTTCTTGGACTTTGAATTGGTCGATTTTTGATTATTAAGTTCTCTATACCCAACGTAACTACAGTTTCATTTTGTTAGTTGTGAAATAGTAGAAAGCTTTTTGGTTTTATTATGGGAGGAATTTATGTGAATATTTATCCTCTTGTTCTACTACTGGTTTATAATAAGTCGCCATCATTGTGACGAAGAAATCAGCCCAGTTGTTTTTTTTGCATTTTCCTGATTATCATTGGCTTTTAATTGTATATGAAGTCATTAACCCAATTTCTGTTTAATATGTGTTTAATCTTCTGCAGTGCTGTTGGCTTTTCTTTTTGTCTTTTTTGGTTGTCTGTTTGTGTCTGTTTAAACTCCAAATTGCTGAGGAATTTCTGGAATACAAGTGTTGAAGTGTTGTGTATGTTTAATTTTCCACTGCTCCAGTATGTTTGCACGGGGAGACAATGTGGACTTGTTCAAACAGATCGCTTAACTGTTATTTAACGTGCTACCTTTTTGGGTCGTACTACATTCCATGTCTTAGGTGCAATAGGCTCACTCGGTGTGCGCGTTATATTACTGAGTTATTTGGATGTTTTATATGTGCAGTAACGCTTAGTATTACTGAATTGAACTTGTTTTGATTCATATAAATGATAATTACCTTCTGAAATTCGGCTTGTGCGTTTGTGGCATCTAATAGTTATTAAGCACTTCATTTTCTCATGACATTTTTATGTGAATGTGGTTTTCTTGCTTTTATTTTTTTCTACTATGTCTTTTTGGTAGTTCTGTTTTGACGTGTATGTGTGATCCTTACAAATTTGGTTCTGGGTTGCTTTAGTGTTAACCATTCGTTCTGTAGACCAGATGCAGTAATAGGACTTTGTTAAATGTTTGACCACTTGTCATTTTTTTGTTACCCTCAGCATTTGCTTTCATCATCAATGGACAAAACAGTTCGGCTTTGGAACTTGTCTAGCAACTCTTGTCTAAAGATATTTTCACACAGTGACTATGGTAAGTGCAAATAAATCTTATATTATAGGTCAGGGAAATGATTATTCAACTTGTTTGTTGATCTAAAAGAAAAGATGTTTCTTATTGTTATAAAATAAATCTGCCTTAAATCAGCCTCAGCATGAGGAGATAAGTTATCAGTTTTGTTCATCACTGTCAACTGATGAATTTTATTGGCTTTTCGTTGATGCAGTTACCTGCATACATTTTAACCCTGTTGATGATAGATACTTTATCAGTGGGTCTTTAGATGCAAAGGTTCGCATATGGAGCATTCCTGAGCGCAAAGTTGTTGATTGGAATGATCTTCACGAGATGGTCACTGCTGCTTGTTATACTCCAGATGGTCAGGTTGGCAAAATTTTGTCCATGGATGTTACTTTCTGTTGTCCATCCAAGGTATTTATTGGAGAATGTACCGTGTTAGTAGCCTAATTAATGGATTTTTTTTTTTCTTTCTGATCTGAAGGGTGCATTAGTTGGCTCATACAAAGGGAGCTGTCATTTGTATGATACTTCTGGTAAAGTTCTCATTATGCTGTAAACTTAACTATTATTTTTTATTTCCTTTTGTAATGTTGTCAACTCAATATGTTCCCTTTATGCTTTCAGATAACAAATTACTGCAAAGAAGTCAAATTAATCTTCAAAGTAAGAAAAAGAAGTCTCATCAGAAGAAAATTACTGGTTTCCAGGTAATGACTTCGAAATTAATATCTTGTATTTTGTATATTTTTGTATGTTCTTACCATCTTCTATGTGTGTGGGAAATTGGTTCCTGGATTTCTAAGAAGGCATTGTTGTTGTTTGGAACTTTATGCATCTTTTGTTACGTGGATATTGAATTTGAACTTGATGCATCTGAATTTGAATTTCTTCTTTGTGCCCATGTTCTTTCAATTAACTGCATACAACATGATTAATTTTATGTGAAATACCTTCTTATTTTAGACTTATGTGGATATTGATTCTTTTTCCTGTTTCAGTTTGCTCCAGGAAGTTCATCGGAAGTACTTATTACATCTGCGGATTCTCGAGTCAGGGTTGTAGACGGTGTTGATCTGGTCCACAAATTCAAAGGTGTGTTATACGTCTTCTCATGGTCTTCTGTAGCGGCATGCATAATTCACCAAATATAGTTGATGCATTTGTAAACTACGAAATGGTGATCTTTTCTATTGTTTTAAAACTGGATAAAAGAACTTGGTAGATTTTGTGGTGATGTCCCCTGTTAGGGCAAATTTTTAGGAGCCATCTCCACTAACTAGAACTTGGAAGAGTAGTTGTGACCAATAAATTTTTGTTAATCTTGTGCCAGGATTTCGTAATACAAACAGCCAAATCTCCGCCTCTCTTACAGCCAATGGGAAGTATGTAGTAAGTGCCAGTGAGGACTCGCATATCTATATATGGAGACATGAAAGTGAATCCCGACCAAGTAGAAGTAAGGGTGTCACTGTAACAAGGTCGTATGAACACTTCCATTGTCAAGATGTATCGGTCGCTATTCCTTGGCCTGGTATGTGTGAGACTTGGGGATTCCGGGATACTTCTTCTCGAGAACAGAGTGGACCGATTAATCATTCAGGTGATGTTTCCACTGTCAACCACCCTCCTACACCAGTAGAAGAAAGTAATGGTAGTGAGAACTCACCTCTGGCATCTGGTTGCGGTAGCAGTCCATTGCATGGAACGATATCTACTGCTACTAATAGCTACTTGTTCGATAGAATCTCTGCAACTTGGCCCGAGGAAAAACTTGCTTTAGCTGCAAAGACCCGCAGTCCTCGCCTCAGTTTTGACCTTTCCAATGGGATAAATCCTAGCAGGTCGGCTTGGGGCATGGTGATTGTAGCAGCAGGTCTTCGAGGGGAGATCAGGACTTTCCAGAACTTTGGATTGCCAGTTCGAATCTAGGGGGGGTCCTCATCTCTATACCTAGTTTGAGATATTTGTACAGATACTTGGTGAGATTTGTATTATTAGCCGTTTTTTTTTCCCCCTTCTTTTGTGGTCATGCCGAGTGATCACAGCATTTGAGTAAAGAAATAGATTCATTAGGATTAGGAGGGAATGCTCCCCCCTAAGCCAAAAAGAAAAGAAAAGGAAAAAGTAATAAATAATCCAGAAAAAGAAACGAACACGAAGGAAGTTTTACACATATTTTTAAAGTTTGGAAACCATATTGATTCGAAGTAATCGGCAAGTGTAGAGTTATGAGCAGTGCACAAGTCTGTTAAATCTTTTTAGATGTAAAATTCTTTGACGGTTTTTTCCCAATGTAGTTTGTAAGTTGGTATTTATACATGATGAAATCTGGGAACGGATAGATTCTGAAGCCCCCAAGCATTTTATATTCTTGGCTGGGGGGCTTTGACCTTGTATGTACTTCATTTGTAGCATCATTTTGTAATGAGAGTTGTCTCTCAGAGGAAACAGAAGATTATTTATTAATCCAAAGCTGTGTATATTTCTTTTTGCATCATCTGGGTTCGGATCGTAATTTTGGTAATTATTTGGTACATTTTTGTAATGTTCTACTGCAATGTGCTTGTATTAATTTGATGCATCGACATTGTGCCTCAAATCTCTTACCTTTCACAACCTAAATTCCAATCCCTGTATTAAGGTGAGCAACTTTCATGATTAAATCGACTAAACAAGCAAAAGGTTCTCTGAATCTTATAAGTATTCAAGGCTATAACATGACCGAAACTATGAAAAAATTCCAGAATTTTTATGGTTTGTGACTTTTGTGTGGCCATTAGCTTCTCCAGGAACAAGGCAAATTTGTACAAGTTCAAATTTCAGTTACATATGGTCTTGGTTTTCTTATCGTTCTCGAACACAGTTTGCTGCAAAAGAAAAACTCATACAGCAGGGGGGGAACATAACCCTTTGAATGCACTCTGCAGAACCATATCCATAAGGACGACAGTGTCAAAAAAAATCTGCAAAACCCATAACGGTGGAGAATGGAATGCTTTGGGGTGTGAAATTTTTATGAATAGTATCCTTTTTTCTGGCCCACATTCCTGCTGGCTCTCCCATTTTGTTTAAAGAAAAATGCATAAAATATATTAAATTCATGAGAGGAAATCTTAGCCTCAAATTCTCATTGGTTGCCAGGAATTGAAATGGCATACAATTCCAAAGATAATTATCTTATCCTCACTTGGCTTTTTCATATCCAATTGACAGGAGCTTTTGTCGCTTAACACCCAACATGGTAATATAAATAGCTACCCTCTTTCAAGTATCTTAAGAATTCACCAGGAAGAAGAAAAATCTCAAGGATATTTGAAGAAAAAAATATCATTCTTGCTTCAAAAGGATTCCCATGGCTTTACAGGCAGCTGCTCTTCTTCCTTCCACTTTCTCCATCTCCAAAGAGGTCTGCTTCTTGTACAACCATAGATTTTCCTTGCTTACTACCACATTGTTTATGAATACCTTTTAACAAGATGGTTTCTTGTTGTGCAGGGAAAGGCTGGTGCTTCTTTGAAGGATTCTAGTCTTTTTGGCAAATCATTGTCAGACCAAGTCAAATGTGACTTCAGCTCTCCCTCCTTGAAAATCAAGGTTTTTAAACTTTCTTTCTCATTCCCCATGATCACCTACCAATATATATACAATTTGTATCATTTGTCTGCATGCATCACTGAATGAAAGAGCTAATCTTGTTTGATTTCTGGATTTCTTTCAGAAGGTATTGAGGATCCAAGCAGTAGCTACAACTACTCCAGGTGTTACCTCTGCTACAACGGACCGGAAGAAGACTCTGAGAAAGGGCACCGTGGTGGTAACTGGAGCCTCCTCTGGACTGGGTCTGGCCACAGCCAAAGCTCTTGCTGAAACAGGCAAATGGCACATAATCATGGCCTGCAGAGATTTCCTTAAGGCCGAAAGGGCAGCAAAATCAGCTGGCATGGCGAAGGAGAACTATACTATCATGCATTTAGATCTTGCCTCCTTGGATAGCGTCCGCCAATTCGTCGACAGCTTCAGGAGATCCGGACGACCTCTTGATGTGTTGGTCTGCAATGCTGCTGTTTACTTACCAACTGCCAAAGAGCCTACCTTCACCGCCGAAGGATTTGAACTCAGTGTTGGAACCAACCACCTCGGACATTTCCTCCTTTCAAGGTTGCTGCTTGAAGACCTCAACAAGTCGGATTACCCTTCAAAGAGACTTATAATTGTTGGATCAATAACAGGTACAAACAACAATACTGGTTATCAATTTTCATTTTGAGCTTGATATTATTTTGGCCATGGTGCTGTGGCTAAAACTTGGTTATCCTTTGGCAAATGAATTTCAGGGAACACAAATACATTGGCTGGAAATGTACCCCCAAAGGCGAATCTTGGTGACTTAAGGGGCCTTGCCGGAGGTTTGAATGGGCTGAACAGCTCTGCTATGATTGATGGTGCAGATTTTGATGGTGCCAAGGCATACAAGGACAGTAAAGTCTGCAACATGCTCACCATGCAAGAGTTCCACCGTAGGTACCACGAGGATACCGGCATCACATTTGCTTCCCTCTACCCTGGGTGCATTGCCACAACAGGCCTTTTCAGGGAGCACATTCCCTTGTTTAGGGTACTCTTCCCTGTATTCCAAAAGTACATCACAAAGGGATTTGTCTCTGAAGAAGAGTCTGGAAAAAGACTAGCACAGGTAGAAACATGACATACGGCAATAAAAATATTGAAATTAACACATTTTACCTTTAGCAAAAGAAGCCAAAATTGTGACTAATCTCTCCTTTACTTGAATGCTCATATAGGTGGTGAGTGATCCCAGTTTGACAAAATCAGGTGTCTACTGGAGCTGGAACAAGGATTCTGCTTCCTTTGAGAACCAATTGTCTCAAGAGGCCAGTGATGTGGAGAAAGCCCGTAAAGTGTGGGAGATCAGTGAGAAACTTGTTGGCCTGGCTTAAGCAAATACTCACTGGCTGTTTTACTCTCTACTTTTGGCATGGCAATGGTGTTTAGGGGTGCGAGATTGTGAGAATTAGAATTTAGATGCGGGAGTGTTTGTAATCAATTTTCTCACTTGTACAATTGAAATCAGGAAGTCAATAAAAGTGCTCAACCCTATCTTCAAGATCTCAATGCAATTCTCCATCTTAATTGTGAAGTCGTTTAAGATCGAAAAAGAACAAGAAAAACACAGTACTCAAATCTAAACAGAAACTACAAGCACGCATATATACATTCACATTAGTTCAGCAGGCAAGACTAATCTAGAGTTCGTAACCAGGAAACCTTGCACCATTGGGTTCATTCATATCTAGGAACAGATAGGCCATTCCTCCAATGCCTTCAACAAGCGAACAGGGGCGATCACCTCCGTGCATGATACCCTCTGATATTAAAGTTTCAGCTCTATCGTGCAAAAAGCAGGCAAAAGCCCTGGCCCTGTGCAAGTATTCTGGTCTACCTGTTAATCTGTGAAGTGAAAGGAAAACATAGGTGTTTCCACTGATACCATGACACAGACCAACTCGCTTGAGTAAACCACGATGCCAAACCACCTCCCCAGCTTCAATAGCAGCTTGCAGAAACTCCTTGCTGTCAAATACCTGAATTGCGAAAAAGTAAAAATAAGGATAAATAGAAGAGATGACCGTGCACAAGTTAGAGGCTCCAAATTAACCAGAGGTGACTGAGCACAAGTTAGAGGCTCCAAATTAACCACTTTCTCCCTTTCCCAAAGTGGAGGTCACTGAGTAAGCATATAATCAATTAGTTGCCATTTGAGTTTCCCTATTCCATAGTAAAAGGAGAACTCAATAGCCCACCATAAGAAACTGCCAAAGCGTTTAGTTTCCCGCAACTCAAATGTTAGAAACAAGTGAAACAAGGAATGATTGATGAGTCCTCGTATTAAAATTTTGCTGCCATCAGGAACCTAGTAACTTTAACATAAACTGTCACAAGGTGTGGTCCTGGAGAGGAATGGTCCATTTCTTATTATTACATATCCAGAAATTCGGCTGAGATATGAGAACACTATATGACAGGAACAAACAAGGTAGTCAAAAGTAATCACCTCGGATGCTTTAGCAAGTGCAAGAGCAACACCAGTGGCTCCATGGCACCAATGCACAAGACGGTCTCTTTCACTTCCTTCACTAGAAGGATAATTTCCACTAGGAAACCGATTCTTGATCATGTAATGAAGCGTGCCCTTGACATCTTGAATCTCATCTGGCTGCAGATCCATATCCATCAACACATGCATGATTCCAGCAAGTCCATGTGCAGCTCCCCAGTATTTCTTCCCATGCCATTCGTACATCAACGGACATCCTCTGGTAGCCAATTGCCTGCCATAGTTGATAATTTCATCTACAACAGCTCTCTGCAAGACATAGGCGTTCATTATAAGAAGCAACAGAGCAGTACAATAACTTCTACCATTTGGAAAGGTCGTACCATTTGGGTAGATGTAATGGTTTCTGGTCCAAGATTTTTATTCAGAAATGCACATGCCCACAGGAAACCAGCTCTTCCATATAACAGTTCATTTGGAAGCTCATTGGTAAGCTTGATCTTCATCAAAAATGGACAACAAGCTGGTTAAAATCCATCCAAAAGGTTTGAGGAAGGAAAGAGCTAAAATCCCAAGGCTACACACTAAAATACCTTCTCAAATTCATTTAGATAGTGCTCACATAACCGATCATCACCAATGTGCTTAGCCACAACAGCTCCAAGAGCACAAACACCGGCTCTCCCACATATGAACGTCACCCGACTGCAAATCAATAAGTGACTCATAAAACAGGATATCCAAATTGTCATCTGCCTAGGCATGTTCACTAGGCCATTTGAAAGCCGGAAGGTTTACTTTTGCCAAATTAGCTGAATGATACAAATAAGCCAACATTATGACAATCAAGTAATGTAGTCTGGCCAACTAATGAGCAACTTTATAGCCTGCTCAGGGTATTAGATAAAACCCGGAATCGCGATACATTTTTGAGCCATCATAATCTCTACCATCACCATCCCCAGCTTAATTAAAAAAGCAACTAAATACATCACCAGACATATAATCTACCATACAAATTACGGGCCATTTCACAAGAATTAAGTACAATTCAAGCAAACAGAGAAAAGGGTTACCTTGATTCACTGGCAGCAGAATCACAAGCCTTAATGATCTCAGAGGAAATAGCAAGGTCCCTCTTATCATTGGTAACTTGATAAGCTTTAAACAGCAAGAAGGCAGTTCCCAATACACCAGTGTAAAGTGTATAATCGGTGACACGCTTTCTTCTACCTACCCACGTCTCGTTCACCACCTGCAATTCCAGCAACGCACAAAAGGGTTCATTCACAACATAAAAGCGAGACCATTTCTTGAATGAACCATTTAGAATCTCAACAACTGAGACACAACGATCAGCAGCAAGTTTCACTGGATGATAAATGTAGAAACCTTTTTCTTGATGTCCAAAGCTGCAATTTTTAGCCTTTCGGAGAGGGATGGGTAGGGGAGTCGCAGAAGCTTTGTGAGTGAGTCCTTGGCTTCCCTGGAGGCTGATTCTTCTTCCATGGTTTTAGCATCAGACTTGTAATCCGGAAGTTCATTCGGGAAGTATCGGTCTGCCATTTCCTTTCCAACAACGAAGAAGAAACATGTGTTAGTAAACCGAATTTACCTATTAATTTTCAGTTTATAACTTTATAGCGGGTGCGGAAAATAGAAGCCTGGATTGTTCTAACTCTCCCCAGTGATTCTGTTTTTTGTCCTTTTCTGGAAAAGAAAAGAAAGAAGTGTTACATTAATTTTTCAGACAAGTGGCCACTAAAGAGCCCATTAGTGAGTGGACTTAAAGCCCATGGGCTTCCGTCAAAATTAAGCCTTTTTCACTGATTCCATAACTCTAATGCCTAAAAGGCTAAAACCCCTAAAACCCAAAACCTCGTCTCAGTCGTTCCTCCGCCATATTGTCCCTCAATTTTTCCCCCCTCAGCGCAACCGAGAGAACTCGACAATCCGCCGTACTTCAGTCTCCATTTGTTCCAAGGTAATTTCCTCCCACCAATCTGTGACCGCTTGTTTTTTGACTGGTTAAGCTCTCACGATTTTCTGTTTTCATCGATAATTTGAGCAGTATCCACTGGTTCTTTGCGGTTTTATCTTCCAATTGATTTTTATCTCGAATGCTTTCTTACGGAAAAATTGTTGTTCTCAATAGTTATGGAGGAAATTTAAGCTAAAACAAGAAAAGGGGCTACCTGTTTTGTTCTTTTCGACACTGTTTGTAGCTATATTTTCTTATTGGATAAATTTACATTTTGTGTGTAGATATATATACAAGTTAAATGGGAAAGAAACGAAAGCAAAGAGAGCCTGAAGCTGTGAATGAAGTAAACAAAGAAGAATTCGCTCCAGAGCGGCCAGCGAGAACACTCTTTGGATGGAAAGATAAAGACAAGGTTCAGGGTGAGGCAACTGACGGAGGTTTTAGGAATAAAGAGAAGGTCTTGGTCACTTGTTCTCGCCGTATCAATTTCAGGTTAAAAGTGTTGAGATTTGTTGTTATCTTTTGGCCCATTTATTGGCTTATTTTGGTTTCATAGTTCTTTGTTTTGCATCTTTTCTGTTTGGTTGAAATTTTACTATAATTTCCAGGTATCGACATTTGATGTTAAATGTGGTGTCACTTTTGCCACATTGTAAGAAGGATAATAAAGTTGAGTCCAAGGACAGCAAAGGTGCAACCTTAAATGAGCTAGTAGATCTCAAGGGTTGTTCATCTTCGTTGTTTTTTGAGGTATTTGTTTTGATTGATTCAGTCTCTGACAGTGGCATACTGTGTTTAAGTTCATGTAATTTCGTTTATGCTTCTGTTATTCGGCTAACTATATGCATGGGTCTATTATAATTCCGTTGGAAACTCTTAGAACTGATTTTCCAATTGGTGACAAGGTGGTAGTTTAAGCTTTGCTGGGTGTTTGAAATGCTTCTTATTAGGTCTTTTATATTATCAATAGATAGTTTGTTGGGGTATCTGATCTTTGAACTTTGTTATATCAGTGCAGAAAAGGGAAGGACCTTTATCTATGGATGGCCAAGTGCCCCAATGGACCATCCGTGAAGTTCCTAGTTAATGCTGGTTAGTGATACTGGCATGCTACCCTTGTTAATTTCTGATACAGTTCTCTGTTTTGGTATGGCATGAAGTCATTTTTGTTGTCAAGCTCAACAGACCTCATGTTTTGTTTTGAGTTGGGGATTGTTTCCCGATACTTATCACTAACTCCTTTCTGGTTCTTCATGTTTCTCTTTGATATAGTACACACAATGGAAGAATTGAAACTTACAGGAAATCATTTGAAGTATTCTCGGCCTATATTGACTTTCTCGGCCAATTTTGATAAAGAACCACACTGGATGCTTCTGAAGGAGATGATTACGCAGGTGTTTGCATGCCTTGTTGCTATTAGAAATTAGACTTCAGACATTCTTTCTAGTGTCTATCGATATCGATCTTTACTATTGTTTCCTTTTTCCCGTCATCAGATATTTGCAACTCCAAAAGACCATAGAAAAGTCAAGCCATTCCATGATCATGTATTCGTTTTCTCAATTCTAGATGACCATATATGGTTCCGAAATTATCAGGTTGGTTGCAGTTTTAAGCATTTATAACATTGTATTCTTATTATGTATGATGTCCGTCTTAGATTATATGAGCTGTATGATTTTTATGGCTGTCCACCTTGGCTATGCGGATAGCACGTTCTTTACTGATTTATTTTTTCATGTTGGTACGGAGTCACTGACTAATATAGTGGTTATTGAATATTAAGTATATTCTTTATCTTACAATGCCTAAGGGCTATTTGATTATTAAAATATGTCTGCCTTGACAGAAAACCCTTATTAATTAGTTAACATTTTCTACACTTCACACAGATATCTTACCCGCTCGGTGCAACTCAGAAAATAGACCACACTGACCTAGAGAAGATGACCCTTGTTGAGGTATCAAAGTAATCATTTTTTGCTTGACATGATATGTTATTGATGTTCTGTGTTTAAAATTAATGCAACTTCATTGAGCAGGTCGGTCCTAGGTTCTGTTTGAACCCAATCAAGATATTTGGAGGTAGTTTCGGAGGTCCTACACTCTACGAAAATCCATTTTATGTTTCACCAAACCAGGTAATTTTAAGTTAGCTGGTCTTCCCTTCCTTTTGTTAAGTACTCAACATCGTTCCAAATTCAGTCTCTTGATTTTATGCACCATGTCAGATTCGAGCTTTAGAGAAAAGGCAGAAGGCTGGGAAATATGCTAAGAAAATCAAAGCTAAGGCAAGAAAGAAGATGCATGAAATGGCAAATCCCTTGCAGGTTGATGAACTTGAACAAATGTGGAAAGAATGATGAAAGAACATTTAGTGGAAGCAGTCTGAGTATCCTCACTTGCAGCTGTAGCTTCTTAGGTGCAAATGGGCATTTTTATCAACTGAATTATAGATTCCATGTAGAATTGGCAAACATAATCCTATTTGTTATAATTAGATCCAAATGCAGAGTTTTCTTTTTCAAAATTATGGTCTGTGTCTGTACTTTTACTGAACCATTTCGGGAGTATGGGAGTGTTTGTTTTGTTTTTAAGACAAAGGTCAGTACAAAAACATGTAGAGTCTACTTGTTTTTGCCTATATGTTTACCTTAATGAAATTGAATAAGCTTACCTCCTCAAAAATAGAATGTTGTTCAGAATTGAAGAAAGCAATAGTGAGATTTCAATTCGGACACGTAATAAACTGAACAGAAGAGTATCTAGTTATTATCCAGTATCGGTCAGTACTAACCACATTGGTTGTTTAGGACAAACCCAATTAATTTAACTGGAAATTGGATCAGCAGATGAAAACAAACTAAAGGGATACTGAGATTCGAGAACGAAAGTTTTATTCCTTTGTCGAAACTTAACCAGGGGTTACAATTAAAGCATAAACTATTTTCAAGCATCAAACAACTTGCAACTCGAGCTAGACTTTACAAGTGTCGACTTGCCTAACGGGAGGAAAAAGGCACTCCCAAATTCCCCGCCAACAAAGACACAAGAAAAACACACACACAATTGGGCAGCAGCCTAATCAGAATTCTGCACCAGTTCCTCTCTTTAATTTAAGAGTGTTGAGTATTCCAATCAACCCAATTGGTCTGACTGCCAACACGAGGAATGCTGTTAACTCTGGAGTAAAGATCCACCTTGAAATTAGCTCCACACATTGCACCTTCGCTGTCTACCCTTGGCATTGCCCTCATTTTGTGCATTGGGTGCTCAAAGCTCATCAGCCCTCCTTCACTGTGAAACATGCATCCTGACCGAAGGAAAAACAGGAAGAATTAAAGGGTCTGAAGGATTTATGGTCCATCAAACAGTTCAATTAATTACCCATTGTGGTTCTTGATTAATTTACCAGTTGGAAAGGGTGCAAATGATTTGGCACAGCCAGCTTTGATGATGTCTAAATCATCTGAAATCACCACAGACCCATCTGCAGCAAATCCCCAGTACAGCTTCACCCCACCGTCAGATCCCTATTACAAGAACAAATCATTCAAAAAAATTTGAATCTTTCTTTTCCCTTCCTGATTGAGTTAATTAAAGGGATTTGTATCCTCTTACCAGGGCAGCAAATACAGTTCCAGTCTTGCTATCATAGACAACAAAAGCAAAGCTGCCATCAAGATCCTTGACAACCTGGTCAGCTGGATAAGGTCCCCTGTCTCTAAGCGTCCTGTAAGCTTCAATCACAACCAGGGCTTCATTGCTGCATTTCGACAGTCCATACTGCCTGATTTGTGCACACAAGTTGTTCAAGCTCCCAGCAAACAGGCAATATATATCATCATACCCACAGAAAATCCTGCAGTTAAAAAAATTCCCAACTTCAAAATTTTGAAACAGAGGTGAAAAAGATCCAATCTTTAAACCAGAAATACTCTAATAAATACATGTTCTTTTTTATTTTTTCTTTTAAAACGATTTAAAAGGAAGGGGAAAAAACAAAGAGCAACCCGTGTACCTCCTCTTGTTACTATGGAGTAAGGAAGAATTCTCCTGCTTGTAATAAGCAAGGACAGCAGCATTCCCAAAGCTCAAAGAGAAAGCATTTTTGGGATGGGCAGAGAGAAACTCTTCAAGGGTTTCCTCTGGAAGCTTTGGTTTCTTATCAGAGTTTTGGGATGCAGGGCTGTGAAGCTCATCTGGTGGATGAGCAAAAGCCTTGTGAAATATAGCCAACATATTTTTACTTCCTTTTCTTTTCCTTTTTGTTATAAAACTACAAATTCTGGTTTAATGGACTAAAGATCAAACTGAAATCAGATCAGAAGGATAATAATATGTTCTGGACAAAATGCCACACTCTTTACATATATATAATCCAGAAAGAGAGCTCAGAAGGAGAGAAGGCTAGATATTATGGGCGGTCGGGTTGAGTCCTGATGAAGAGGTAGATGGGCAGGAGGCAGTTTCAGGGTCAGGGTGGGATCAATTTTCATGGATAAGGATTCTCGTACTTCTATGTCACCATCTATTTCATCACTTTGAATATTTTATTCGTTTCTCTTTGGGTTTTTTCTCTGATTACTTTTCTCCAGCTTTATCCATAATTATTATTCCTCCTCCACTTTATTCATCAAATTAATAGTATTATCTCGCTGCTCCATCCTGGAGCAGGGGACTCTATATTATTTAATATTACAACAGCTTATCCATTAATTCTCTTGATCCAGTCCTAGCTACTTTTCCTAACAATTACTGCTTCGTCCCAAAAAAATAATAATGATAATTTATTTTGAATTTTAGAATTTGTATTAAAAATAGTATAAATTTGAAAATTTTATGTGAAATACTATAATTTATCATCCCAAAATAATTGACATGTCGCATTATAAACTCATAAACAAAATTGATCCAAAAGAGCACTTCCTAAATGTCAGTGATTACTTAGGGAAGGTTGGGAAGCCAGCAGTTTGAAGGCCGCCAGTTTCAATTGATCGAATACAGGGAATGAATTCCCTCAAGAATTGATGTTTGAAAGTGAGAGTTCTTTTGGACGATTAGGATTAGACTCGTGTATACTATACTAGCTTAAAAACTTATTGCACCAAACACATTGACTAATTTTATATTGGTTTCTCTTGAATTGTGAGATTTTTAACCATAAATTTTAGACCAAACCTAAGGGCTTAGGCTCTGTTTGTTTGGTTTTTTTCAGATTATTTTAATAATAACCGTTCCATCCTAACATATTTTCTTACATTTTCAATATAATTTTTTACATTTTCAATACAAAAAAATCTAAAAACACATACTAAAAAAACGAAACAAACATACCCTTCAAAACTTGTGATATAGTAATGTTTTGGACTTTTGGTTATAAATGTTTACCGGAGTAACTATTGTTTTTCTTCTCAATCCACTTTTAGTTCAGTAAAAAGTAAAAATCGAAGGATTTGTTGGCAGAAAAGTGGGTAATTCATGATGCAAATGAACCGAGTGAGTAACGTGAAGCACCGCTTGGGAGAAAAAATATCTGATGGAAAAGAGTTTGCCAAATCAGGAAATCCACATCATAACACTGTACATCGTTATCTCATCCAAGCGCTGACAAGACGACACATCATTGTCGGCTCGACTTCCCATGCTTTTTTCTCTGTAACCGTGGGCTCGACCGCCCACCAACCTCATCATTTTCATTCTTTCAGAATTTTGCAAGAACACCCCCCCTTAAGCATTCCACCTTTTTTTGCATTTGTACTCCTTCAACTATCAATTCTTACCGAATGATACTCGAAAAATTATACATCAAAATAATTTTGCGCTTCAAATCTCTTTATTATGTCAAAGAATATTTTACCCCTCCAATTAGCTTCCCTGTTTTCTGTCCGTGGCACTTCAACAAACGAACTAGAGGACAAGGCACTGTTTTAATCATTCCTTGAATCAAAATGTGATTGCGTGAACATAATTTATCTATCTATTTTATCGTCTAGAATCATTTCAACCGACAACATCAAACAACAGCTTTAAAATTTTCAATTACAAGTGCAAAATGAAATAAAACCGGCAAAAATACCCAAAAGAAAGTTATTTACTAACACTTTTAATCTGTTTTAAAATAATAAAACATTGGGGAGTTTAGGGCAAGTAATGGTTCCTGGATTGTCACTGGCTTCAGGTTGCACATTTAACCTAAGAGTCAAGAGTGATTACAAAAATTCTAATTACATCTTAAGGATATTTGCTTTTATTAAATACAAAACATACTACATTTAAGCATTTCAAAACTCAACCCCTGACAAGAAAAAGGGAAAAAAAAAATTGCGGTGGGTCGAGGTCAGCCATGCTTGGGACTTGGAACATGATGTGATAAACTGATAATTTAGCATATCGGACGTTAGCATTCTTAATTGTGACAAAGAAAATATATTGGTATAATTATAGAATCGGAAATGATGTAAAACATGACTAAGTGTTGACATAGATTTGTCTTCCGCCTTATCAATGTGGCTCGTTGCGTTTAACATTGGAGCAGCACTTTGGGTTCATCTATAAAACTGAGAGCCCAAATATGTTGGCTAACGGCGACCTGTCTGGCTTCAGTTACAAGAACATGTATGCGCCTAACGGGCCACATTAGACCCCATTCCGAAATGGACTCTTGTTCAGTAGTTGGATATGAAATTATGAAAAGGAATGGCATCTAACATCATTGTACCACATCTCGTTGTTATTGTTGTTGTTGTTTGTTTTGTTTTGTTTTGTTTTTCGTTTGACTGAACTACACTCGTTGGGCATGTGGAGGAAAATGTGCCCAATGCCAATTACTAAAAAATGTTGTTTTTTGTTTAGTTATGTACACTTATGATGATTTCAGTGCCTAAGAAGAAGAGTAGGTTTTACTTGATTTCGAATCCCCAAGAGAAGCACAAGTAATATAGTTTGGAAGGGAGGAGTGTCATTTTATATTTGTGTAATGTTTATTGACTTTTATATTAACGAGTTTCATTTTTTCTTTTTTTTTTTTCCAAATAAATTGAAAGAAAATAACAGTGCAAGAAAATCGCCCTTAAGGTTTTCAGATAGCTCCTCATTTTTCATAAAGGTATCTTTATTTTATGTTTTTACATGTAAGTTTTCCAGCAGATATGATAAAGAAGATGAAGATTTAAAGAAAGAATTACCAAGGAAGAGATTGCTACAGCCCGTGAAGACCATGGATGACAAGGGAGTGCGAGGTTCTAATTTTGGGGTAGTTTTTTGGTCAATCATTTATGTAATCTCCTTGTACATCTTCTTTCAATTTCTTCTCTTCTGTTAATTAGAATTGCTAGTTTTTTTCTTTTATCTGTTTAGATATCATATCTACGGATATCTATGACATATCTATAGTCCAACCATAAATTGTCGTACTTATTAACGTTTGTAGTTGTAACTGTTTGGGGGTAACTATTTGGTTATCTTTTTTTTATGAAATATGATTATGGTTCAGAAAAAAAAAAATAGCTCCTCATTTCGTGATCATAATCATACACTGAAGAATATACTAGTTATTATATGTTGAGCACCCAATGGAGAGATACTGCTTCTTTTTTTTTAATAAGAACATAGAAATATTTTAAATTTGTGTTTTTTCAAACTTGTATTTTCTGCTGCCTTAGAACCAAATTTAGCAGTGAAATTGAACTCTGAATAAGCCAACGGGTCACAAATTAAAGTTAAAAAAACACTTGAATGGGAAGAAATTAATCCTAGAAACACTCTTTCTCTCATAGCCTCGACCCCCATCCCTACCAATGATAGATAATGTGAGGGAGTCATGTTTAATTCCAAATTGCAGAATAATGACAGGTCTGCACTTATCATCGAAATGGAGAAAAGCAGATGAAAAAGGCATTACAAATTAAGATGGCACAACAGATAAGCTGAAGCACATCTCATCAGTATTGTCCTTATCGCCGGGAGCCAATAGATAATAGATAAATATGGGCAGGAATGCGGCATCAGTCTGTAGCAATATAAGGCCCACCACACAACAACCCAATTTTCCGTGCAAACTTTATATAATGTGGTTCGGTCGTTTTGGGAAAAGTACGGAAAGTCGACAGCTAATACCGACGATGCACTCTGAAACCCTACTGCCATATTTCCATGTGCTTGCTGCTCTCCCCCCCCATCATTCTCTTTTATTAATGTTTTCTTCTCTCCATTTTCTTTTTTCTACCATTTCGTCTTGGGCCTTTTTTGGGGGGTTTGTTTTTCTCACCATTTTTGCCTACTATACGCACCCCCTGACGTCTACACTTGTACCTTCATTTAATTCATTTGAGTGATTAGTGATGAGTGAGAATGTGAGATGATCCGCTTCTTCTTCTTCCTTTGGATTTATTGGCAGCGATCTTTGATGTCATTTCTGTTTTAGATTTTGAATGATTATAATCTTACAAATGTATAATTAGCGATATATAAAAAAATTAATATCCAAAAAGTATAATTGTGCATTAATTTGAGTATTATTCTCTTCGTTCTAAAGAACAAATAATGTTTAATTGACACAACTCTTTCTTCTTTTTCTTTTGAGGAAGGGAATGGAGGAGTAGCTTGGATCGGCCTTTTTTTTGTGTGTGTGTGCTTTTGGTGGTTTTGTATTGAGAATATAAAAATATGTTTTGCAAATGTAAAAAAGTTATGTTGAGATGAAATATTTATTGTTATGTTATTCTGAAAAACCCCATAAAAAAACCACTTCCTAATTAATATTCATCAATTAATTCAAGAATGTGATCTTGTAAGAAAGTTGCATTTTGTTGTAATATTTTAATTAAAAAGAAGTAGATTATATTTTTATGAACGGAAAGAATATCACTACTATTAACCTAGACTGTATCAGCCTTTCATCAATCAATCATTGAGCATCTTTAGTTGCTTTGACCTTAAGAACATGAAATCATATGAATTTTGTCACGTAACCTGCTGGATGCTTTTAAGGACTCTTGGAATATTCCAAGAACATGGAACGTAGCCTTCCAAATTGCGGTACAATTTGAGCTTAACTACATACTCCCTCCGGTCCTTATTATAAGACATTTTGATTTCGTCATAAGTTTTACTTAAAATGTCTTTTTAATAAAAAAATAAACCTTAAACATATATTTTCACATTCGTTGAATTCTCATAATTATTATAAAATATTTTTAAGATTTTTTTTAATTAAAAGAAATATTGTAGGTGAAACTTAAGACGAAATCAAAATGTCTTTTAATAAGAATCGGAGGGAGTACTATCTCTGAGTTTTTTTTTTCGAAACTAACTCTTAGTTGAGTTGGACAGTTCGTAAGAACCTCATTTTAGAAATATCAACGAGTACTACATATTTGGAAGTGGGAAATATCTAGAGATGTTTTGCGCATGAGGGTCAAACAAAGTGGCAGCGGCGGGATATTAAATTTTTCTTCCCCGATATTCCCTTTTACTTTTCCTGTGGGTTTAATTTTAAACTTGCCTATATCAATGTCATATTGTCATTATCAATCTTGCAATATTATCTCAAATATATAAGAGTGGGAAAGAAAGCGATCAGTAGGCCACTGCATGTTTAGTTTACTCTCCTACCAGAAAACTTCTGAGCCATAAACGATTGACTTATCTCATA